CCTACTGTTCGCTTGACTCAATTATCACTGTCTTCAATCTATCTATCTCTGGCTTATATACTAAAAAAGAGGGCGTCTAGCAAACACTGAGACATTCGCGGGTTCTCCGATAAGTCATGATCCTTCTAGAAATTCCAGCGTCATAACAATATAGTTCGCGAATTGCATGCCCCTAGGCTATAGCATGAGAGTCGCCAGGGCTGGTCTCGGATGGTATTATAATTTTATATTCGTAATCTTTTTCATTTTCCAATGTGTTTCTTCAACATAACATGCACCTCACTGTGGACCATGTACTGGAATGATATTAGCTGACGGCTTACTTAGGCCTACATGTGTTATTGAATTCAGAAATGACCTCCCATGAAAAAATAGCGACACTCCTGTAATGATGTATAGTCGCATGTATTGGTCACGTTAATAACTGGAAACAGCATTCGGAAGTTAAACCTAAATACTGAGTTTGTTACTTTATCAGTTGATTGCGTATAAAAAAAATGATAAAATTTATTAAACTTATCCCATATGTTCGCACAAAGTTTTGGGGGATTCTAGGCAAACTGTCCTACAAAAACGAAACTATAACGAGGGATAAAAAGTATCTGGTTAATTATGATATACATAGATACAGCGAACCTCTACATGGTTTCATTCTCAAACTACTTGTTATAAAAACGACAATAAAAAATTAACGCTGCAATTATATAATTACTGATGGTATTATTTAAAGAGTTATTTTAGTGTAAAACTAGCTTAATTCCATAATTCACCATAATAAAATATTGTTGCGTCAGCGAGGTCACGTGACTAGTATCACGCCACCTCTTTCTAGAAATATCCTGTTCCTTCAAGAATGCCCTAGCATTTACTAGACATGTGTTAGTCTTGTATATATAAGACATTAACGACGTGACGGGACAACAGTGTAATGAGTAATTGAATGTATGCGGACGAAATATTGTTGGCCACGTCAGACGTGAATTATAGTGTTGTTATAGAGCGACTGTTGAAATTAAGTGTATCGTAAAGTTGTATTCGGAAAGAATAAACCAGTTTTATTTAAGAAAGGACTTGTGTCGCTAAAGTTTCGTCGGAACGAATTTACGGAAAATTAATTAACAAACGGAGACGTAACAATATACTACTCACAAAAATAAACTACTCGTATATCTTACAGTGCAAACGCTATTAACCACTGACTGGCATCCTAAGTCATATAACCGAGGGTTCAATGTCAAAGTCCTGACACCATTAACTATTTAAATGCTGCTTACATTGAGTCAGTCAATATTTAACCCTAACACCATTAGCTGCTGATTTGCTTGCTTCCTAGGTCAGAATGTTAATGTTTATCACAATATATCAGATATTGCAAAGTAAGTTTTTATATATATAAAGTTCGTGATAGAATATTAAAACATTTGTTTTGTATACATAGGCCACTTCGTGATTTGGTATTTGAGGTACACACTAATAAAAGTCAAATTTCCTATTGCACAAACGTATATTTATTCGAGAATAAAAAAATAAGTAAAATGTTGACACCACAACATTCTCGTAAATAATTTATTTTGTTAATATGGAAAATAATAATAAAAAAAACGGTTCAGCAAATTATTGTTCTTAAATTATAGCAAGTAATAACCTTAAACTATTTAATTATATTACATTGTTTTCAAACCACGAAATAATACTGCCAGGGTCAACCAGAGAGGAAGGCCATTTAGCCTGGATCTCAAGCTCAAAGTTGTTTTTATGTGCCTCATTTCAAATTATAATTCAAATTGCCCAAGGGTCTCAAAAGCTGGAAGTGGCCCGGGCCTCACTGAACCTCCTGAGAGGGTCTGATTACTGCTAATAATAGCATTTATAAGTAAATTGAAGTAAAAAGTTTTCAGGTTTCTGACAATTGTCCCATACATTCTCCTTTGATTTTTGAATTTTAGCGCCATTTTTGGACATTTAAACATGATTTACTTACGTGAATGGCGTCGTTTTCTGATCTGGATTCCCAAATAAATAGAGGAAACTGTAAAAGGACGAACAAAGAAGAGACTGTACTTAATATCCCAAGCAAGCGGATGAAATGAGAAGCTGGGAACCTGAAAGATCAAAATAGGATGGATAATCCAAGATGCATCTAATACCTTCCCCAACAAGAATATCAACCACAAGAAAGGTAGATGCTCCAAAGTGATTTTAATAATGAACTATAAATTGTATGACTTTTTTAGTTTAATTACAAGTGTGTATGTGTGGGCGTTCAAAAGTTTAATTTCTTGGTTATCACAACTACATATTCCAACATCTTTTCCTCAGCCACAATCCATACAAGATATTCATATATTACCTTTGTCTTTCATTTTTCGATTTTAAACCCCTGATGACATAGGTGTTAAGGTATCATACATGTATCTTTATATTTTCAGGAATAAAACATCCAAACACACCAGATATATTTACCTAATAGGTATGAAAGCTGTTCCTACTGCTACCAAGAGAGCACGGAGGATGGTAACGATGGCAATAGAAGCATAGACTGCTATCCAGGTATTGAATAATTTCAACACTTGCACTGCAGCTTGGGTGAGAGTTGTAATAAACATAGGCCAGAAGCCAGCTTTTATCATCAAATGTTTCCTTTTGTCTGGATCTTTTTCTAAATTATAAAACATAAACTAGACTTCTGAATTAAACCAACAGCTTCATATAGAACTAAATAAGCATAAATTGTATTATCATTTTTTGCAATCCAATACCTGTTTGATTATTATTATTATTCCAGGCTAAGTTTTAATCAGATCAGCTTATGAAGCAACATATAAGTCAATGAGATGCACCATAAAATAGTATAATATATTTTTGTAATAAGTTTCGCGTGTAAAAATTTTTGTGAAAACAACATAGAAACTGGCATGAAAAAACAGCTCCTTTTTTAATTTTGGAAACAATTAAATAAAAATCAAATTTTAAGATTTTACACATCACAGTTTCTTAGTTAAAAACTAATCTACTCTGGTTTCGATACCCGTAATTGGTAGAACACACAGAAAGTCCATTATGTATCTCAACCCAATTGAGCAAATCTGGGATTTGATAGACCAAAAACTTGACAAATCAAAAGTTACTTCCAAAGAGACTTTGTGGGAGGTATTAGAGATATTTGGAGTAAACACCCAATAGACACTTTTATTAAATATGTTGTAACAATGCCTGAAAGACTTCCTGCAGTTAATAAAGCAAAAAGGGACACAAAAATATTAACTGTTTGCTGAACTCAAGCACTTCTACTGAGTTTCTGTTGTACTAAATATGATGATTAATAACATTGTGATGTTTCACCTGTGGTTCATGTTACATTGTTCTTTGAAAGTAGCCTGAAATCAAATTTTTGACTTAGTCCTAACACTTTTGCACAGTACTATATATTTACACTAAACGCATTATATTTCATTTTTAGAAAAAGTTGTTATAGATAATGAACTGAGAAACATACCTTTGGAAGCAGAACTAAGACAGAAATCCATAAAACTACCAGCCATTGGGGCCAAAACTAAAGCAGCTGTCTGTGACAACCCATATACTGTAGTGATGTGGCTAACTAAGAGAGAAGCAAGATTTAATTGAAAAATAAAAAAAAACAATATTTTCACCAACTAATTCAAAACTCATAAAAATATTTTAGAATACAAATTAAAAATTTCCAACTACAACTACTTCAGACAGCAACACTTTTAACTAATTAATTCTGTTTTGAATGGCCACAAATTTGATGGTTGGAATGGATAGTTATTGCATTTTTTTCACAAGGAACATATACTTTTTCTTACTTTCACCAAACTTATAAATCGTGTTTTGAAGTTTTACTTTGTTAAGTTCGACTTAGAATGTTTTATACATATTACCAGAATTCTGTTTCTGAGATAATCTTTGATGTATTTTCGTCACAATACTTGCTTGTTCCATTAATCCAGGTTGTAGCTGAGAGCCAACAACAAACAGTAGACATATTTCTTAACGTTATTTCTAGTAAGTCTTGAAAAACAAAACCTCTGCAGCTATTATTACATGTTATTTGAATCACTGACTACACAAACAATTACAGGTTTACACGAATATGTAAGATTTTGTTATAAGATATAAAAGCTCATTTTTATGCAGTTCAGACATGTAAATATCCATCATGTGATCTGAAATGCAAATAATTTGTAATTCACCCTATCTTTGTAGCTAAACATTTGGTAAAGGTGACTTTATTTCTTTGCATTGTGATGGTGTCATTCAAATAGATGAGTATAATGTCCCAGGGTATTTCACAGACAGTACACTCCATTGGTTATTGAAACATAACATAACATTGGTTATTGAAACATAACATAACATTGGTTATTGAAACATAACATAATCCTAATATTAGCACAGATTGCTACAACCCATTAAGACTAGTAACAGCTGTTTTCTTTCTGCTTGATTCATTGACTTGCACTTTCTAATATTCAACTTTCTAATCCAACACTGAAAACGATTTTTGATATCAATAAAGCATCATAGTACAGTGAATCCTTGGCGATGGGTAGACTCCATCTTTGTGATTTATTTTACATTTCCCTAGACCTTTTGGATCTATCCTCATTCTTCATAAGTACAACAGGAGATAACCAAGGACTTGTACTAGCCTGTATAACTCCTTGTTCCTGCATGGCTTATATATTTGTAAAATTCTCAGCCCTTTTTTCAAGTGGCAGTCGTCTGGCTAACTGATATTTTGGAACTGCATCATCAATGTTACAAAATAACTTTTTTGTTTCGACCAACTTATGAAGTCCTGTAGCGAAGGTTTCTTGATATTATGTTATAAAAGAGTCATGTAATTTATGATATTGATCAGTTGTAAGAACTCCATAGCTCTGGTAATAGAACTGTAATAAGCGAGGTGGTTCGCTTCCTTTATGTCAGAATTTGGCATAAGATTTTCTCCATTTTGTTTCAAAGGTGACCGATGTTCTTTGATGTGAGAGTACTAGGTGTTTAGCTTCACATTTTGCAATGTTTCATTGCGGCTTTAACTTTTTGGTTATATATATAATCCAAATAGTTTTTTCTAATACCATATTTTATAGTATGTGGTGTTTTAAGTGGGATTTATTGGATGGATGCATAAAAATGGTATAGTTAACCTGATCTTTGCATTTACCAATTAATTTTCCAAATGTTTTGTACTGTTATTAATGTACCTTGCATCTCAGTGATTTCTCTTAGCTCTTTTTCGATTTTGTTATTACAGTGTTTACTCACATTATAGACGTTTTTTGTACTTCGATTTAGACTTCGTTGATGTCTGTTTATATTTCAGTTTTGTTGATGTAATCTCTCTGTAATTCTTTGTTTGTTTGTTTTTTAATTTCGCGCAAATCTACTCAAGGGCTATCTGCACTAGCCGTCCCTAATTTTGCAGTGTAAGACTAGAGGGAAGGCAGTTAGTCATCACCACCCACTGCCAATTCTTGGGCTACTCTTTTACCTACGAGTAGTGGGATTGACCGTCACATTATAACACCCCCACGGCTGAAAGGGCGAGCATGTTTGGTGGGACGGGGATTCGAACCCGCGACCCACAGATTGCGAGTCGAGCACCGTAACCAGCTGGCCATGCCGGTCTCTCTGTGTAATTCTTTAAATAATTCACCGATCTGGTCTTCAATCAAATTCATTATTGTTCTTAATTCTTCTTTAAATATTGCAAGTTTTTCTTTTAATTTTTTCTAAATTCTTATTTCTTATCCCTTAACTTTTAGTTAATTTTCTATCTCTTTTTCTTGGTCTTTTAAAAAAATTCTGTAATTTCTTATTAATTTTATTTTAATTTCCTGTAAAGTTCCCTTGGTCTTGTTTTAGTTTTCTGTTATATTAATGTAGTTGTCTTTCTTTTCTCCTTGTTCTTTTTTCCCCTGATCTTGTTTTAAAGCCCTGTTTCTTACTGTTTCTTCTTCTTTCCACTGTTTCATTATCTGCAACAAATATTTTATCTCACACTGTACTTTTTTGTCATCAATAAAGTAGACGTTGAACGGGTTTTTAGATTAATTGGTTGAAATAATGCGAAATCCAATCCACTTAACGAAAACAAATTCTTCAATAGCGTGTTTTACAGGCTATCTTCACTGATAGGCCTAATTTCACAAAGAAAGTCTTGAAATGAAATTCTGAAACTAATGTAGCCTAACCTATACATAAACTTACTTGTAGAATTTCGTTACTAATTAATCGATAACAAAGACACTGACTGACTCAATACCTTAATAACTAAATCACTGTCTAACTCATTGACCGATACTAAAATGAATCACTTATTAACTAACACTGAACTGACTAACTAATTAAGCAGTTTAATTCAGACATTTTTTTAACGTGCTCTTATTTCTATTACAGTACAGGAAGCTTCTAGATTCTATCTAGGCCTTATCTTTCATGTAATTTCTATATGTTACGTCATAATGCCGTAAAAACATGGTTTCTCTAGCAAACAGTTATCTGAATTAGAATACTAAAAATATATATCTTACAACAATACTGAAGTTATTGACGTTATAAATATTGGTGGAAACATTTTTACCTTCGGCTGCTGCACCCGGAATTCTGATTAACCATAGATTGAGCGTGCCCACATAGAGGATAGTATACAATAATAGCCAGCTAAACCAGAACTGGTGTAGTTGGAAAGAAAACGAAAATAGTGACGCTTTTAAAGGGAGTTCTACAGCTTCTCTATCCCTGTTGTTGTATGGTTGAGGGTGGTTTGATACTGAAAAATCAAACAATTAAAATGATAAAGTTCACTGTAAGGAATTAATATTAGGCCTGAGGATAACACATGACAAGCAAAGTTCAAGTAGAAATATGTAACACATGATTTCCGCTCTAAAATATTGCTTATTTAAACCAATTTATATATATATATATATTTGTTTTAGAATATAGAATGACATAGTGTTTAATAGGTTCATCCCTATAATGTTATATATCCATTTTTAGTGTTAGTTGTGTTTCATTCTCGGATTAGATTAACAAAATTAGTTTCAACATATAAAGATGTATTCCAGTCTTTTAAACGAGATAAATAAAACTTTAGGAATTTAATAACCTGCAAATACTCATCGTAAAAAAACGTAAAGAAACAAGGCTGGAGATACTGTAGAGATTACTTACTCAAACTAATTTCTTTATTGTGATTAGTGGCCCAGCTGTTGCTTCTTTATTGTAATTAGTGGCCCTACTGTTGCTTCCTTATTGTAATTAGTGTTGCTTCCTTATTGTAATTAGTGGCCGTACTGTTGCTTCTTTATTGTGATTAGTGGCCATGCTGTTGATTCTTTATTGTAATTAGTGGCCCAGTTGTTGCTTCTTTATTGTAACTAGAGGCCCTACTGTTGCTTCTTTATTGTAAGTAGTGGCCATGCTGTTGATTCTTTATTGTAATTAGTGGCCCAGTTGTTGCTTCTTTATTGTAATTAGTGGCTCTACTGTTGCTTTTTTATTGTAAATAGTGGCCCTACTGTTGCTTCTTTATTGTGATTAGTGGTCCTGCTGTTGCTTCTTTATTGTAAGTAGTGGCCCTGCTGTTGCTTTTCTATTGTAACTAGAGGCCCTACTGTTGCTTTTTTATTGTAACTAGAGGCCCTACTGTTGCTTCTTTATTGTGATTAGTGGCCCTACTGTTGACTCTTTATTGTGATTAGTGGTCCTGCTGTTGCTTCTTTATTGTAAGTAGTGGCCCTGCTGTTGCTTTTTTATTGTAACTAGAGGCCCTACTGTTGCTTCTTTATTGTGATTAGTGGCCCTACTGTTGCTTCTTTATTGTAATTAATGGCCCTACTGTTGATTCCTTATTGTAATTAGTGGCCCTACTGTTGCTTCCTTATTGTAATTAATGGCCCTGCTGTTGCTTCTTTATTGTGATTAATGGCCATACTGTTGTTTCCTTATTGTAATTAGTGGCCATACTGTTGCTTTCTTATTGTAATTAATGGCCATACTGTTGATTCTTTATTGTGATTAGTGGCCCTACTGTTGCTTCCTTATTGTAACTGGTGCCCATACTGTTGCTTCCTTATTGTAATTAGTGGCCATACTGTTGCTTCCTTATTGTAATTAGCGGCCCTGCTGTTGCTTCTTTATTGTGATTAGTGGCCCTACTGTTGATTATTTATTGTGATTAGTGGGTCTACTGTTACTTCCTTATTGTAATTAGTGGCCCTACTGTTGCTTCTTTATTGTGATTAGTGGCCCTACTGTTGCTTCTTTATTGTAATTAATGGCCATACTGTTGATTCTTTATTGTAATTAGTGGCCTACTGTTGCTTCTTTATTGTAATTAGTGGCCCTACTGTTGCTTGCTTATTGTAATTAGTGGCCCTGCTGTTGCTCTTTTATTGTAATTAGTGGCCATACTGTTTCACAACTACATTCTGTTCGAATTTGAGTGACTTACTATTCTTACGTTGGTGTGATTCGCCAGAACTTCGGGTGGTCTGTGGAGAGCCTAAAAAAATCACAAATAATAAACATTTGATTTAAAACCACGTGATCTTTCATTTATTTTGTTTCATATGTGTTGTTTAGTCTATACAATTTAGTTTATAACAGATTAATATATATGTTATTATATCACAAAATTAAATCACCAAATGAAAAACATAATTTAAGATGATATCCTGACGTTTTTTATAGAATTATACGAGTCTACATTCTTAGTATATGCATTAATTTTCAAGAAACTGGTAATCAATTAAGTTCTAAAATGTGTATTGTAAATGAGAAATATATAACAATATAACGAAACAAAAATATTGTTGATGTATAGACAAGATTAAAGCCCAATATAATGAAAGCCAATTTGATCTGAATCTTTACTTTGTACATTTACTAAGGTTAACTTTGCAGCTACGCAAAGATGTGAATTTTGCTAAAAACGCCGAAAGAGACGATAGCCTTCACTTTCAAACATATATTAATTCTTTGTTACTTTATATACTCGCCATTATAGAATTTCGAATTATAGATCAGATTATTACAATTAAATAAGTTGACATATTTAGTTATATGTCGGGTAACTATATTGAAATAATATAGTTTTTAATTATGACTTTATTTAAATTTTATTGTATCTTTTATTGCTAACCACGTTTATAATGACGGTTGTTGATCTGTGAGTCTTCATCAATTTCACGTTATTGTTTGTTATCTTGTTAATGGCACTATGAGAGGTCAACGGACAGGCTTTTTCCATTGGATGATACCTAATCATGGCCATCACTTTGTAGACGAGGGCGTTGCTCGGATGATACCTAATCATGGCCATCACTTTGTAACGAGGGCGTTGCTCGGATGATTCTTAATCATGGCCATCACTTTGTAGACAAGGGCGTTGCTCGGATGGGTTTTGGAGTTATTGCAATTTTAGAGCTTTGCTGAGGGAGTTTTTCCGCTTCCCTGGAGAACACTCAAGCCTCCCTTCTTCGAAATATTGTGTCCTTTGGTTCTACATCATTTAACAATCCTCCCTAAGGAAGGTTATTGGTATTTCTCCAGCCATAAGTCCAAACTTTGCAGCGTTGCATTGTCAAATGGTTGGAAAAATTCATATAGAAATATAAAGGTATTAAAGATGTTAAACATGCCATTTGTAGCGCCACTGTTCGCATGTAGAATGAAAATACTCTTGTGTTTCCACATACGAATTTTACATATGAAACTCTTATCACTGGTATTATTCTTATTTCAGTTATATGTCACGTGTAGCAAAATTTTTTTAAACTAAAGCAGCATTTCAGGAATTGAAATCCCATACAAATCAGTAACTGTGACAATAGGCCTAATTAAACTACCTAAACTATTGAATAGCAAAGACATTTCTTGGAAACGTTCGTTGGCCACTTCTTCAGAACTAACAAAAGTTTATTCCAACATCAGTTTGTGCATGTTTAATTGAATTGTTAATTTTTGTGTTTGGCATTAACTACATTTGTTTCTTTTTTAATTGTTCTCGAACGTGTCTTGTACTTTCTTTAGTTTTTTTTTTTTCAGATAACGGAAACTGAGATATAAAGTTCAAAATTAGCAATTTTAATAAAACGATTACCTACAGAATGTTAGTTTCACACGTATTTAAAAAACAACAAAAATTTGATTAAATTGTAGTGTTTTGAAACTATTTGATCTTACAATTGTTGCTCACTGAAGCAGATCGCGTGTCCTACTTCAGGAAGAATAACTACGCTGTTTTATTGTTATCCTTGAAACCAACAATCACGCTTCTCTCTAATTATCGTGTATTTTTCTGGTTGCTTTGTGTTTTAAATGTGGCATTTTGTGAGATATTATTTTTTTTGTTTCTTATTTTTTTTGGTTCTCAAGCTAAGACTTTTCATCAACAATATTGGAAGCTTTTAGGACTTATTTGTCTGAAATTAGATATTTCCTGTTTTTTTAAAGTTATGAAGCTTTTCAAGATAGTATCTTACATCCCTCTATCGGTCCATAATCAAAGTAAATGCAAATTTAAGTCCAGTAAAAATATTTCAACTTAATGTATACAGACATATAGACTATCAAGTTTAAAAGAACCACCATTTTTGCTTTGCTATAAACAAATAAAAAGCCAGCAAATTACACTTAGCTGTTTTGAATTAGCTACATATGTCACTAGCAGAAAGTGAAAGCAGATCCAAATCTATGCTTCATTTGCTATTATCACCGGGACAAGGTTGTTCACCGTCCATAACTCAAACAAATGACCGTTATCTGCCGATCCTGGTTCGCTGCAATTGTATAGGGCACCTATTTGTTGATTGAATCATATGTTCGCAGCCGTAAATAGACATATTCAAACAAGGCTCACCTTATGCCAGATGTTCAATGAAATGAAGTAAACTCACAGTAAACACTAAGCCTATCTGCAATGATTCCAAGAACATGTCTAGTAGAACATCGATAGGTGAAAATAAATTCCTTTTTTCCAAGGGAGTCACGCTTCATATATTAATAGCTTGTCTAATTGAGATGTATAAATTGGTGACATCAATACTACGTATTCCTCAAATCCTTTACAGACGTAGGTTTACTGTGGTGAGTAAAAAATAACTAAGATGCAATGAATGACCATAATAGATGTTGAGTTGAAATATCATGAGCTGCAAGAAGTAAAGTTAATTCAAGTGTTTACATGCGTAAACAAAAGGTGTAATTTAAGAAGGAGAATGGTCTGTGGCAACAGCACCCAAAATATTTGGGGATTTCTATTTTTCAGACAACAGAATTGGATAGGTGCTGATGAAACTTTGGGACCAGTTGCATAGAGAGAGAGAGAGAGAGTTGAAGACACGGGGCTGGCTTATGGGTTAGGCACTAGCTGACCATCTCAGGCTATGTACCAGTACCGGTTCATTGTGAAAACAACTGAGGTGGGAATCATCTCAGGCTATGTACCAGTACCGGTTGATTGTGAGGACAAGTGACGTGAGGTGAGAATCACCTCAGGGTATG